CCCAAATGACGCAACATGTCAACCAACTCCATTAAAAAAATAAAATAAATAAAAAAAAATGTAACAAATAAATGAAATAATCAAACAGAAAAACTCTCACCAACCAAACTAACAAACCATCGGACGCATCCAAGCAGCAACCAATTAAAAATCAGTCATCCTACCAAAGTAACCAAACAGGCCAACAAAACTAACACACCAACCAAGAGAAACAGACCAAACATTAAAATAAGCAATCAGATCATAAAGCACCAAAACAGCCAGCCCACCAAATCGACAAACTAACAAAGTAACAAACCAATGGAGGTAGTAGAATCACATTTTTATTTTTATTCCATTTCACACTGTCCATGTGGCGGAAGTGTAGTTTTCATAAAACTAAATAAATTTAATAAAAAAAAAGATCCATCAGCCATTTTGTTTGATCTGATTTGGAGTGTTTAGCACGTCTTACCCCACACTTCTGAGTTTCATATCTCGGCTCTGGAATTCTTTTGTCGAGTTTCTTTTGCCCCAAACCATCCGAACGAGGAGAGCAGCCACAGAAAGCCAATGGATGGAACACCGCTCTGTGCTCAGAAATATGAGGGATGTTTATTTAATAAACACGTTCAGTCTGTAATGGAATCCCCCCCATCCCCCTCCACCCCTTTGCCTTGACTGCCGAGTCACTGGCAATTTACACCTTCCATAAAATCTGATGGATCCTGACCGTCTAAAGTTTCATCTTACCTGCATACTAATGGCCGGCGACTCTCCGGCGTCTCATGGTCATGACCCCAATGGGCATGAATTTATTCCGCCAGAGCTTTTGAAAGCAAACGGCATCCAATCACAATTTCCTGTAACACGCTCTGCTGGCTTCCCTGTGCGGGAGGGAGCGTTTGAGAGGTGGCCCGGGAGTCCCCAAACAATCCGCCGCTTGTTTCATTGTGATCGATGGCAAACTGATGATGGCCATGGATTCATTACCAAGAGGCCCCGGCCGGCTTTGTCGGACTTCAATAAGGCAGCGGAGGACAAATTACACGCTGAGGAAACGCGACTTTGGGGGGGAAAAAGGGGAACGCTGGGTTCCTTTATCACTCATGAATTTTTCATGAAACCGATACTTGGGGGCTAATGGAAAGTATAAATAGCTTTCGGGAAAATGATAACAGGTGGCAGGAAGTCTTTTTGTCCAACTTAAGACTTTGGCAGCTATGAAAGGAGACATTTTATGCCTGATTTATTTATTTTTTTTCACCACAGTTCCCAGTTGGATGAACGCTTCAGAGGCGTTGGGACGGCGGGGCAAGAGCGCGAGTGAGCTCATGTCGCGTCGCTCATGTTATTCGAGTCGCATTGATTTGGAGCTGTGTACATGGCACCGATGCGTGCTATAGAACTTGTGTAATTGCGATGTAATAGCGATGGCATTCGGCCCAGATACACCGCCAGCTACTTTTTTTTTTATTTTTATTTTAAAGATGTCAGCGCTACAACACAGCGAAGCAGCTGTGCAGTTGCTCATATTGTAATGTTGGTGTCTGCTGACGCGTACCTTTTTAACAAGCTACGGGGTGTTGCATCTGGGTGTCGTTAAACAGTAGCCAACTGGTGAGCCGCTGACGTGATTAGTGTGTGTGCGCGCGTGCGTGCGTGCGTGCGTGTGTGTGTGTGTGCGTGTGCGTGTGCGTGTGCGTGTGTGCGGTTCTTATGAAGAGAGGAGGCTGTGTGGTGTGTGACTTTATTCCTCGTGTGGCCACAATCTGGTTGCCAGACTGTTTGACAATGTGGTCAGTGTTAACCACGAAAGCTGTCGGGTTAAAGCAACAGTAAAAAAAAAACAAAAAACAAAAAAAAAACATGTTATTGTTCTGCTGCTGTACATGAGCAACATTTCTTCAGATCATTATTTTGTTATTATTGAGATCAATGGATGGGTGCCAGATAAATACAGGGCTGGTCGAGACACAGGTGGCCTGATGGTATGTACGGCGATGGAGGATGGATGGATTGGGCTGATGAGAGAAAAACAGATGGGTGGCTGGATGGATGGATGGATGATACATGGATGAAAGAAGAATACACGGTGGGTGGATACAATGACGGAAAAATAGAATGATCGAATGAGGGATGGATGGATGGAGAGGGAGAGAGAAAGCAATAGAGAAAGTGGAGTGCTCCATGTGGCAAAGAAGAGACGGGTCATAATAACTGGTTGCAATAAGATCAAAGGATGGAAATGGGATTAAGGTTGAGATGAAGACGGCACATATTGCTCCGGAGAGAGATCCCGTTTTTGTTTGTTTTTTTTTTTTTTGTTCCCCTCTGAGGCAAGAAAGACTGAGGCAAGATTGTCATGAACGACGATGGAGCGAGTGAGAAAGGAAAGGATATATGGGAGGTGAAAGAGAAGGCGGGAGGGAGCGCTGAACTCCAGGCACAGCGGCGCAGCGCAGCGCCGGGCAGAGCCGAGCAGTCGCTCTTGAATTATTGAACGTGATATTTTGCAGCTGGGCAAAGGCCGCAGCCTTGCCGGGTGCCTGCTGGGCGGCAGGAAGTTCAGATCACCGGCCAAGTGATGCTGCAGTATTTTTGCATTGACTTCATGTGTACTTCTTAAGTAGGCCCACTGGTGTGTCTGCTCGTGTCAAGCTAAGTGTTGTCCGGGGGTGTGGGGGAGGGGAGTTCTCCCTCACTTTTATACAAAACAGCTCCTGTGGTCCTTTTAATTTACTGCCAATTCCATTTGAAGATTCATTTTGTAAACGTAAAAGTTTTTGTTTGTCTTCAAGGGCCTCCAATTTCCATTAGCTAGTTGCAGTGGACAGAGATCAACTCGTGGCTAAAGCACTTTGCAGCGGGGACTGTTAGGGCCAAAGCCAAAAGGTAAGCAGAGCTGCAGTGACTTTAGTTGGATGCAAATATTTCCCCGTTCCAGCCATTCCCAAAGCAGGCGAAAAACTTTTTTTGGAATTGTTATTTTTTTTTTTTTTCATAAGAAAAATTGAGCGCGGCCCGGTAGTCCAGTGGTTAGCACGTCGGCTTCACAGTGCAGAGGTACCGGGTTCAATTCCAGCTCCGGCCTCCCTGTGTGGAGTTTGCATGTTCTCCCCGGGTCTGCGTGGGTTTTCTCCGGGTACTCCGGTTTCCTCCCACATTCCAAAATCATGCATGGTAGGCTGATTGAACACTCTAAGTTGCCCCTAGGTGTGAACGTGAGCGTGGATGGTTGTTCGTTTCTGTGTGCCCTGCGATTGGCTGGCAACCGATTCAGGGTGTCCCCCGCCTACTGCCCGAAGACAGCTGGGATAGGCTCCAGCACCCCCCGCGTCCCTAGTGAGGATCAGGCGGTTCGGAAGATGAATGAATGAATGAATAAGAAAAATTGCACTCAATGGTGTTGTATCTTATCAAAACCCACAGTCATAACATTTACTCTCCGATTATCATCACCTGCAAACACGCCGAATATGACAACACAAGTGTACTGTATTGTCGCTCGGTATTCTTCTTCTGTGGCGTCGATTGGAGGTTGGCAAACCAGATGAACAGTTTTTGACCACCACCAACTGGTATTGCCCCTCCACTGCAAGGAATCCAATTTGAATTGGTGGTGGCCGGATGTTGTGCAACTTGCCGCTGCCATCTAGCAGTGGGGGTTTGAAGTGCATTGAAATGTCAATTTTTTTTTTTTTGCTTGTATCTCAAGACAAAAAGCTGCGATGACTCGTTCGTCAAGTTACTCATATCTCAAGGCACCAATGTGTCAGTATTTGGCGATGTGTCCACTGCATGCGCCATATGCACGGATCGCCGACAGTGTACGAAGTGCTGCCTCCACGAGTGAAAATGCTTTTGTTGCAAATGATTTCACACACCCTGGGCTCCCCTTCAGAGTGAACCACCGATCTCATTGCAACCCACTTGTGGTTTTCCTGGGTCGTCATGGTAACGAAAGTAACCATTGATTCCCCAGTCGAGCGAGATGAGCCATCCCTCATTTTCACGAGACAGGACCGACCCCTCGAAACGGGCTGAGCTCCAACAAGCTTAAATAACACAAGAATTGTACTGGTACCTCCTTGTGGTATTTTGACCAAAGAAATCAAATCAAGTGATCAGGTTGCATTTTACTCAGACGACTGGGTACTGTTTTAAATTGTGAAATAGGAACACAAACGATGGATTCTTTTCTGTTTTTCATATGTCTGCACAGTTATACTGATGCATCGATTGCAAAATGTCGACACCAATTCTATTCTTTTTTTTTGTTCCGGGTTTTTTTTCTGTACTGAATGATCATCCTCATGCCTCTTCCATCCCCGCCACCTGCCCGTTGAGTCTCCTCATCCTATTCCCTCCCGTTATCCCGCTGTCCACACCTCCCTCATCCTCTCTCGCACCCCTTCCTCACTTCGCCCGGTCTTGTTAGCGGTGGCGCTGCACGCCCAAGCCGAAGCGCACGCAGAGGAGAGCGATAAATGAATCCGCTAACAGATGACAAAATGAGATCAACGCTTATTTTATCATCACAGGATGGAGTATTCACTGTGTTCGGGAATAATAACAGGAGTGGAAATGCCAAGACCCCACTAGCCAGCACCCCTCAACCCCCAGAAAAATCCCCATCATTCTACAGTGACTTCATGTTTTTGCGCCCAATTTACATTTGAAATGGTGACGAATTATTGAGAAAACATAATAACAACAATAATAATCTACCATTGTCAAAAAGCTGAGGCATATCCGGGCGGGCAGCTCTTGATGTTTAACCTTCGTGTGCACGTGAAACAGGATGAAAACCAGGAATTAGACTTAGCCCTTGACAATTTATGGGCCAGTGCACATCAATGGAGGAAGGGAAAGATTCTTTTTAGATGACAGACAGACAGATGGTGTGCCGTGCCGTCTCTGCACATTGAATCAGTTGCAAACATGCAAAAGATTGCCCGACTGGAGTGCTCCAACACTCACTTCTGCGTGTCTGTGTGTGTGTCTGTTTGTTTCCACAGCCGTATCGTTCATGAGGCACAGCGCGTCGGCCTTCGGATTTGCCGTGAGTTTCCGTCCTTGCTCGCTCCATTTGCATGGATCAATTAGTCATAACTTTGGTCTCAGTGATTTATTAATGAGTCTGGGAACTCCACTTTTATTGGCCCCCGTTGTCTCCAAGGTAACAGAGCAGAAAGGAAGGGCTGAGATGACAGCGCAGGTGTACAGGCGAGAAAGATCCGTGAAACGGCTGTCATGGAAGGAGAGCTACGATTATCCGAGCTTTAATCAAACATTGCCAACCATACTCTGCGGGTTTAGTTAGAGTTACATTTTACATATGTGCTGATTTTTAACATTTTAGCTGATTTTTTCTTTTTTTTTAATGTGAAAGACCCCACACATGAGATAAGGGAGAAAGAAAAAAAATCCTCTTTCTGATGTAGCACCAAGACTGACCTGTGAGAGGCGGCGTGGAGCCACAGGGCGTACAAACTGCCCAGAAAATACAAAGAAGAAAGAATATTAGCTACAGTTTAAGCTTCCGGTCATCAGGGAGGGGGGAAAAAAATCTTTAAAGTCCCTGTCAAGCGAAATTCAAATTGACACACCAGAGACAACGGTGTCGCTAACAGCCCTGCCAAATTTGACTGAGTAGAAACATTCCAAGTAAATAAGATGAGGCTTCGTACATTGTGTCAAATGAACACGTGATGTCCGCTTGCGAGCTAACTGCACGCTGCAATTGCGTCACATGGTTTAATTACACCGCAAAAAACATAAATAAATGGGAGAGTGAAATGACCCGTGACATTGGCCCTCTGTTACATTCCATATTTCTTCTTTCTGTTATTGAAAATGTTGAACCCACAATGTAATTAGCCCTGCCACAGTTTGGCGACAGCCACCTGTGGCTAATTTGATGCGTTCTGATGCGTATCCGGATCCGGATGATTTGATTTCCTTGCGTCCGCTGGATGAAATAAAACGGAGTCACGTCAGCGCACCGTTTTTTTTTTTCAGTGTAGGAAGCACTTGAGGTCGACGATCATGTTGACAGCTCACTCAAAACAGATTATCGCAAAGGATATTTGAAGCCTACTTAAAGTGAATAGACGATTGATGATCTAAGCGTTGGTTTCTCGATGTCCCGTAACACTCATGCATTTGTTCCGGTGAAATGAAACGGCGCGGTTCACTTCGCCATACTCACTCAACTTGTTTCTCATGACAGTTAAAGCGTTGCCGTTCCACACGTCATTGAGTCTCGACGTATTTAATCGATTTTTAACACAGCGCGGCGGATGTGAGTGTCTGATTTTTAAAAAAAGGCGCAGATCTCAGCAGCTAACCGTTCTCTCCTGCCTTCTGTCTCTCCTCGGCTGGCGCCTGGCGTCTCCAGTTTGACGCCACCTTGGATGTTCTCTCCTCAATCATTGTGCTGTGGCGCTACAGCAACGCGGCGGCTGTGCATTCAGCGCACCGAGAATACATGTGAGTATTTTCGTCATTTTATTCGATGATCCTCAGCCCTTATCGATCGACAAAAAATGTGTCCGTGGAATCCAACAATTTGGAACCGGGAGTCTCGTTGGTTCACGCGACCAATTAAACATCCAGAGGCCGTTGCTGCTCTTCCACAAGTCTGATCTGTTGTAAAGGTCATGTGTTGTTGCCTTGGCTCATACCGGGAAAATCTTTCCCGAATCCACGTCGGTTTCCTCAAAGCTAGCAATCCAGACGTTTGCACATCCCGCTTGCTCAAGTCTGCTGTCTTGTGTCTCTGCAGAGCATGTGTGGTCCTCGCAATTGTGTTTCTGCTCTGCTCCATGTGCATCCTTGGAAAGGCAATTTATAATCTGGTGACCAGGATGCCCCCAGAAGTGGTAAGACGACGCACATTTTTCAGCCAAGTCACGAAAGAAGTCCAAGTTCCATCTGTTCGTTATATGTGGAACCCAAAAACCTGATCCGGGGTTGCTGTTTTTCCGTTGCTACGTTCCAATAGATCTGCGATGCTCACTCACTTGGTGCGCAACATAATATTATTTTTATTCGTGATGTTCCCCTTCAGTCGTTTTCGGCCGCATCACTTGGGCCTGAACTGGCTTTTGGGCGAGCGGAGTGGGTACACTCTGGACTGGTCATTAGTCAACCAGGGAGCATTTATAGGCAAACAACCAGATCCAGAGAGTAATAACCCTGCCACCAATTGGCTTTAGCCACCAGTGGTTGATTACGCCACCGTGGCTAATTATGCCACTGGTGGCTAAAGCTAAACGGTGGCAGGTTTTAGTCTTCAATGCACCTGATTTGGATTTTTTTTTTAGAATGGTGTGAAGTGTGAGGCTGATGTGCTAACAAGCACTCGCGTCGGGTTCTGGTGTGACATGTTGAAATACACGATGGACGACGGGCACGCCGCTTTCAAAATAAAAGAGTCGGAGACGCAATTTGAAGTGATCGAGGCTTTGTCCTGTCTCTGTGATGATGTTCGGGCTCGGATACGATGATTTCATTCAGACTAGCAATATGGAAGCGAGGTGGGAAAATTCGACCATTTACGGGGGACGATTGTCTCTTTCTTCCATCTTCCTCGAATCATGATCCTTCTTTCAATCCCGCCATCTTTTCTTTCTCGTCTTTGTGATCGTCACACTCTGTGCAAGCTGAATTTCAAGTCTGTCGTCATTATTCTGTCAACTTCGTGTTCAACGACCTCCTCTGGGCTTTTTTTTTCTTTTTCCTGACAGCAGTCGTCTTTCATTGGCACAATTAGAGCCTTGTTTCAGGGTTGTGGCGCTGACCTTTTTGCTACTTTGATGCGTTCCTTCCAGTTCTCATGCAGTCAAGTGCGTTTCCTTCGAGTATCAGGCGGCAAAATCGCATGGAGGGCGATTGGTGGGGAAATCCACATTCACGTCACGTCCTGCTTGCTGCTCTCGTTGCGAGCCGTCTGCGTGCAACGCCTGATTAAACACAGAAAGCGGAGATTGTTTGCGCCGTGCGTCAACTGTGTCAGAAAGAGAGCGAAGGGCGACGCGCACTCGAAGGCACGCCTGCGCAAACTATTTGCGTGAGCTCATTTGATTTGAGAAATCTGCAGGAAAGGCATCCCAACGTTTACATGAACCCTTCCACGCACCCTGTAACCCGATAACATGAGAAGCTGTCCGCTGCCGCTGTCCCTCAGAGGGTTAAAGTGAATGCGATCCTGTAAGGCACAGGTGTCAAAGTCAAGGCCCGTGGGCCAGATCTGGCCCGCCGCATCATTTTATGTGGCCCGCGAAAGCAAATCAAGCATGTCAACTTCCACCATGCTTGCTAAAATCGCCTTGAGTGCGCGCAAGCGAGTACGGCGAATGAATAATCCGTTCCTTGTCGTTTGTCCTTTAGGATGACTTCCTCTTCAGCGTGTCCGTCGTGAGTGGATTTGTGTGCAGCGTGCTGGCCGTTGCCAAGTTCTGGCTGGGCAAAGTGCTCACGAGTCGCGCGCTCATCACGGATGGTAGGTCACACAGGGCTCAATGGGAATGATGGGATGAAATTCCAGTAAAAGGCTAAATGGAGCCCCGGTTTCTGTACTGCAAGTTGCTCGTTTTCTTTGGAACGGAGTGAACAGCATATAACGTTTGCGAATGAGCCTCCGAGAGCTATCCGGGTTTTGTTCCAATTAACGCCAAGTTGCTGTTGTCAGTCCCTCAATTGATTTCCCACTCGGCTACTTGTACTTACTCTCGGCCTGACAATAACCCAACATGCCGGCTTTCATGCTGGGAGGCATCGAGTCACGTTGAAAAATCTGAAGATACAAATTAGGGGGATTCAAATAGACAAGCTTTCATTTCCGTTATCTATCCATCCACATTTCCATTTCCGATTTCCCTTCAGGCTACTGCAAGGAAGCAGAAACTGTCCGAAAAGTTGTCTTTTTTTTTTTTTTTTTTTAAGCAACAAATGACTTACAAAGCCGCTTCCGAGTTGGCTATTGACAATCGCCAAGTCCATGGCTCAGCCAAACTCAATGTTGACTGTGCGCATCAGAATTTGTGACGGGAATCATTCATCGAGTTGAACATTTATAGGGAACCTGTTTCGCGAGTCCATATGTACATTTCAAACTACTTTCCTTGATTTTGTTTTTTGTTTTCTTTTGTTGGTTTCAGGCTTTAACTCTCTGGTGGGTGGTATCATGGGATTTACCATCCTTATCAGCGCCCAAGTCTTCAAGGATCATCCCGATGTCTGGTTCCTGGATGGCTTGATTGGCGTCCTCATCGGACTCATCATTTTGGCATATGGGGTCAAGTAAGGCCGAAACCAGCAGCCGTCCGCTCGCGACCTTTTCCTTGCCTTCTTCAAAACGTGAGCGAGCACCGCTTGACGCCGTTTCTGTCTCTCCAGGCTTTTAATGGACATGGTGCCCCGTGTGAGGCAGACGAGGAACTACGAACGATTTGAGTGAGCTTCACCGACTGGTCGCCTCCCCGCCGTCGTCTCTTTCCTTTACGCACCGCTTGGACGTTTCACTTACAGGCGCGGCGTACTGTCGTCACAAGCTCTTAGACTGTTTATGCTGCGTTCGTGCATCCTCACAGTACCTTGCCCACACATCCGACTGACAGATGCACATGTTAAAATACTTTGGCCATTGTGAAGGCCCCCCCCCCGCCCCCCCCAACATTTCGCAAAAAGCGCCGGTTGAACAAAGAGATGGAGAGAGGTGGCGCCTGAATCCGGGCTTTGTCATCGAGCCACGAAATCGGGAGGCACACCTTGGTGGATGTGGATTTATTTCACTCTCGTGTCTTGATGTATTTATTTATTTATTTATTTATTTATTTCGTGAGTCATTTTGATCTTGAAGTGACTTTTCCCACCAAAAACTTGAACGAATGGATGATATTACCTAAGTTTGTGTCAGGCTTTTTTTCTGGTATATAGATAGACAAAAGGATCGAGACAAACTTTCCAATCACATAATCAATCAGGAGTTGGATAAGACGAGACGTAGCTGCAAAGGGTACGAGGGAAGTACTTGTGTCCAGATCCTTTTGTAACTTCCCTCAGGTTTCGATTATCAGCGTGAAGGCTGTGAAGTATCTCTTATGTCATCGTCTTGGCGTCACGGGGCTCGAAACATATCACTCGCATATTTATCTTTCGTTTATTGTTATTTGTGAATTGTTTGAATATTCTTTTGGGAAAGTGTAATGTCATCAAACTCAAAGCAGGGTCCACACACCGATTTTTAAAATGCGGCGAGTGTGTTCCCAAATAAAGTGAGCTAGTCGACGTTGCTCTTCCAAAATGATTTTTTTTTTTTTTTTGAGCTAGTCGCATGTTTTGGGCTTGAGGAGGAACAGAGCCGCTCGCTGCAGCAAACGAGTGCGCCCGATGCAATTCGTCTGTCCCCTTAATTGAATTCAGTTGTCTTCTACATCTGAATGCGCAGTTTTGTAAAGTGAGGGAGACCCAGGAAAGGGTGAAAAAAAAGATACCAGTACCACAGAAAACAATACAGACAATCATGAATCTCCTCCCCCAAAAGCAGAAGCCTGGCGTAGTACCAGGATTCTTTCACACATCGGGATTTGTGATCCAACATATTGAACAGGTTTAGCATTTACGATTGTCAGTCGGCCCCATTTGTTTTTGGATGTTGAAGTGGAAAAAAAAATACTCTTCACAAAGCTCGCACCATAGCATAGTCGCTCAGGCTAATCTTTCTGAGACGTCATCCAATAAACGGGCCTATTTTGATCGCAAGGGAGGGAAAGTGCTCAAAATCGGCCCGCTTATCACACCAGACGTTTTGATGCGCACGTTGCCATATTGCAATCAACAGAATGTAAATACCAAGTGCACAATCTGTCGATATGTTCGACACACCGCCTGGGTTCCATCAGTTAAAAAAAAACAACAACACAGATCTATAGATATACATTATTAGACCAACATAGTAAACCTTTGTAAAATATTGACGCTACAGTGCTTATATTCTGTAAATATCGTTTTGCATATTAGTAAGGAATAGAAATGACACATTGTATTGTTGTTTTTTTGCGCTGTAGGGTGCCAATCCATCAGCAGCGGTGGTTTTTGGTTTAGGGGTTGGTTCATGTGGCCCAAATTTCTGAAGAAAATGCTCTGTGAAATGCTTTTCGGTTGTGTCAAGTCACGACAAGCATGACGGGCCAATCAATTGCTGTTCTTTATGGGGAAATTTGCTCCCGCTTGTGGCAGAGACGAACGTACTGTAAAAGGGCACACTCCGGGGTGGTTTTCATTGCTGTGCGTTTGTGTTGCTAGTGGGGTGTTTACCATCCGTTTGCATTCATTGATCTTTGGAAACCAGCTCAGCGAAACTGTGAATGTAAATACTTTGTACTGAATGTGCCGACAATTGTTCGATGGTGTCCGTTTTGTGCACTTGACGTCCTCGTGGAGGATAAGCTCAGTTCATACAGATGACGTGACGTGTGTCGACAAATATCCGGAGTTCTCCCATTATGACCCATGTACAGTATTTCGAGTATTGGGAATTTGCAGCCATGTAGATTTGCGATGCTTGTGAGCCCCCTTCTGGTTGGAAATGGCATTGCAACGGCTTCAACCAGTATACGGTGTACTGTACTGACTGTATTCTCGATTAAGGACATCCCGAGAGTTACAAGCACGCTCAGTCATGTCTTTGTAATTTGTTTGTTTTATATTCATGGCTTAGATGTGTTTTTCATGCCAATATTTACAGTAATTCAGACTTTTCAACCGTGTTCGTGTTGTGGGTTCGTGTTCCCTCAACCTTTAGTGAGCTCAAACTTTTCGTTTCTATCAGAAAACCTCACGACAGAGCACCGAGCTAAAAATATCACAAACAGTGGATGTGTATATGTAGAAATTATTCTGACCTTGTGTCTGAAGTTACTCGCAAACCGAGGTAAGATGATTCAACATACGCAGTTGAATTCCGGACCTTCTGCCATTTCATTTCAGAACGTTTCATCATTCCGCCTGTTACGATACATCACCAGAATAGATCGAGGGAAAAAAAGATAGAGTACTTGTAGTAAATAAGTTTGGGACCAATTTAGTGAAATGGGATTATATATGGGGGAAAAAAGTGGTTGAAAGTCATTGCTTTAGTAGTGGACAACAATACGTTCATATACGGTGGGAACGGAACTCTGCCATATAGTGGCAGAACCCGTTGTACAGCACAAGTCACTGAGTTACAGCTTTTCACAATTTCTCTGACGATTTCTGCCTTTACCCTCATTTCAATGGCATGTGAGCCAAGGACAAAAAAAAAAAAAAAACAATCCACTTACACCTTGTCAGCTCATCACCAGTCAAGTCACAATTATTTCGATAGTCCTGAATCACAAACTGTCTCAAAGTTGGCAATTATTAACAACATCCACTGACCTTACCTCCCAGGAGGGAAAGGAAAACCAAAAAAAAAAAAATATCATCTGGGGAAAAATGAGAAACCTTGAGAAGGGGCCGCAGATGGGACAATCCCTTTTCTGAGATGGCCAGGCTGCAATGGATGCCGAGTGGGCAACATTTGACACAAAATTGTACTGTACAATGTGATGCACAGTGTGATCTGTATAATGCCCCCCCCCCCTCTCTCTGAAGCATGAGTGACAATCTTGATTGAACAAAGCGTCTTTTGAAGCACATTGTTGGGAGGCACAGAACAAGCATGTACTGGAGAATCATGACTGTTTTTTAATTTTTTTTTAATGGCGATTATGGTTTGGATCTAGACTTTGCGTAGATCTCGCTACCTCTCCTCTTTGCACTGTTTCATTTTCAGCCCATCTAGTACCCACTTATCGCTTCTTAAACCTCCTGTACCTTCTGATGCTGCCATGATGCTCTTTTGTTCCAACTCTGAATTCTGATTGTTGACGCTTACCTGACGGGAGCTTTCGCCGCACAACTTGCACTGATGAACCATGATCAGAGCAAACCATTAACGGTACATGATTGTTCGATTCTGACAGCAGTGATCTTCGCCTCTGTCTGTATGCTTTGCATGGATTTAATAGAGTGGAGTCTCTCCGTGCTGAAAATGCATTGCAGACACACGCGCACACATTTTCGAAATAAATATGTAACTAAATGTCAATCTTGCCATGTTTGTATCATAATACAATCTGTGGTTTTATCTATTATGTCTTTATGTCAAATAAGAAGAAGTATTTAAAAATGTTTTATTGATCAATAAAGGTTATTCCTGTTTCGTCATCAGCACATTTGTTTGTCTTTTTTCAAACAGAGATACTTAAGCAATGTATTTGCTGTTAGAACCCCCAAGAGCTTGTGCGTATAAGATTCCAAATGATCCATGGGTCTGAATGTGAGTAGTTTGTCTATGTGCCTTGTGATTGCCTGATGACCAGTCCAGGGTGGAATATGCTCCAGTTTCCGACTTCCTTCATTGCACGACCCCCGAGCCCCTTGCTCTTCTGTGGCCCTCCCGCCACTTTCAGAAATTCCTTTTTGAAAGACTCGATTCCAGTTGGAGAACTTCATTGCTATGATGCCACGAGTGCAATGTAACGTGACATATTTCCGTTTTTTTTTAAGTCATTCATTCTCAGGTTCTTGAATCTTAACGCAAAACAGCCGCAAAGCTGACGACCGCACTGCAAGCAAGTCTTCTTTTGCGTTCTTTGTCCCGGTCGGCCTTCTCTTTATTGGCCACTTGTGAGGAAATAGAGATATGTTTCTCTACACTATACTGACGAACAATCAGTCATGAATGCAAATCATACTGTTGGCATTCTCTGGGTGGATGTAAAGTATGCATGTATTTGACGCCTGATTGGATTGTGCTACACCTTTAAATTGTAGTGTATTTTACTTGTTGTTCAAATAAGAATTTTGTGTATTTGCACTATATAACCATAATTAAGTTATCAAAATAAAATTACATAATGTGACTGGCTGTCTTGATTATCTGTGCCATCCCATTGGCTGACGACCGGTCAAGGCTTTTCACCGCCTATCATCCAAAGTCAGCTCGGAAAGAATTCATCTCACCTGCAACCCTAATGCGGGTGCGTACTGTAAAGCAAAAACCCCAAAAAGACGGCAATGAAAAAAAATGGAATTTGCCTGTGAATACTGGCCCTAATAAAACAAGGAAAGTTGTTTTTTATAAGTGTATGTGAGAACATAATCACAAGACGTTCAATTACTGTGCTATTTTTTTAAAACAAAAATCAGAATTGCGCAAAATAGCGCAGTCTTGACTCTAATAAAAACTTGTTGAAACGTCACGACATACACGTTCGCTATTGGCTGCCGAACTTCCGTGTTTTCTCAGCACAACATGGAACAAGAACCCTGGAACAAGACAAATGTTCCCTTTCCCGGTGCTGTTTCCAGTGTTCGTGTAATCTTTACTTCAAAAACAGGTTAGACGTGTTATTCGCATACTATTTTTTGGTGTACTGTAAGTCAAAACAAGCTTTAAAAGCCGCCTGTGTGGATGTGTGTAGCGCACGTGGGGCACATCTACTGTGTGCGTGCCGTGAAATAAGAAATGTTGTTTGCTGTTTCCAGGCGTGATTGTGAAAAACTTGATGACGGAGAACGACAAAGTCCTCAAAGTACTTCGGAGTACC